TATGCCCGTCGAGCAGTCCAACTCGAGGGTCTTTTCGGGTGTGCCAAAGTTACGGATATCCCGGATGATAACCTGCCGCAGGCGAGCCGCATCAAAGCCGGTGGTAAGGATGCGCGACTGGCCACCCAGCCAGACAACTCGCGAATCCTTGATGCTCTGATGCGATTCAGCCAGCATTTGGATGGGTGAGCCGGCGGCACGTGGATCAAAGATTCGCACACACTTGTCCTTGCAGCTGGTGGCCAGGACAGTGCCATCCTCGCGCCAACTGGCCGACTGTATCACCTCGGGATGCTCATTGTTGGCTGTGTGAGTGGAAAAGGTGAACCCGATTAGACGTCGTTCGTCCAGCGCTGGGCTTGACAAAGGCACTCACAGAATATCTCCTTTTGGCTCCTCAGATCAAACAAGGCCACACAACCGGCCGCTGTCGAGTACATCATACCATCGGCCGTCGGATGGAAGCCCACCGTCTCCACGCGTCGCTGTTTGTGTGAGAAAACGGCCTCCGGATCGGAGAGCGACTGCTCCAGGCCCTTTTCTGGTATATGCCAGATTTTCACCTGCCAAACAAAGAGAACAGAAATTGCATAAAAATAGGGAAAAGCAGGGAAGAATGGATGATGAAATACGTACCAGGCAATCCTGCGATGCGGTGGCCAACAGGCCGTCATGGAATGGCGAAAACTTTAGGTCTGTCACTGTGTCCGTGTGCCCATGCAGCAGCGGCATTGTCTTGCTCTTGCGCCCGCAATCGTCCAGTGGCAGGACGGCCACACTCGATCCGGTATGCTCCCAATTGAAGGCCATGAAGGCGGCCGAGGCGGCGATATTGTTGCCATACGTCTGATAGCTACCCACACAAATCTCGCGGACGCATGCCTCCGCTTTGGGGACAATGGGCGCGGCATTTTTATATTTGGAAGCCTTGAAGCGCCAGGCCATTCTGTTGTGATGACGCTGAGGATGTGGCTGTTGCTCGAATGGAAAGCAATCCGATGTGCCTGAATGAGAGTGTCTTTCGCTGGATCGCTAGTGTGGGGGTGGGTTCAGGTCTGTTGGTCTGTTCAGCTCCCGTCTGTCGCTGGCTCTGTGCGTGTCTGGAAAAGTGCAGGCATATAAAAGAGTTTGAGGCACAATCACACATCTGTTTTCGGGCACTTGTATAATATAACATATATATCTATGGCTAGTAGTTCCTGGTGTTCAAGCAAATGCCTGTTGTTTTTGTTGTCGCCACCGCCGCCGCTCTCCCATGAGTCACTCGATAAGGCCAGAAACAGAAAAAAGAAACAGACCAGCTTTTTGATAAGGCGATTCCCGGCACGGCGCGGCGCGGCACGGCACTTGCACTGCCACTGCCATCAAACACAAGCACACACACAAACCACACACACTGGAAAACATTGGAATGAAATTGGAACGGTGTCCGTTGCAAATTCTTCCCCCACAACCACTCCCCCTGCTGCTGCTTACTTATGCTGCTGCAGCCGATTGAAAAGAGAAAGCAAGCTAAAGGCGACCTGCGATTGCAGCAAGTGCGAGGAGCAGAAGAATCAGAAGAATCGCTTCAATGCCAGCCAATATATCCATCCATCCATCCATTCGACAATATCCAAAGATGTTCCACAAAAAGCCGGATAAGCAACACCACACACACTCACACTCACACATGTACATTTTGCTGTTTTTGCTGTATGCAATATTTGTTTGTATAACAGGAAATGTGAGGGGAAAATCGACACTTGTATACCCTACCCAACCCCCTTAAAATGCACTGGATATATGTATGTGTGTACATACATATATATATGTTGCATGAAGGCCACACCTACATATGAGTGCATATATAGCATACATAATACATATATCACCGATCTACGGTTGTCATGGAAATTTCCTCGACAGACAGGCAGCATTCTACGCACAGTTGATGGACCCTTGACGACAGGGGGTTGGAGAATTGGAGAGTTTGTCACACTTGCTCACACACACAAACACACGCGCAGAGGAGAGCAGAGCAAACCACTTTTTCTCCTCTTCTTCCAGCAGCAGCAAACGCAGCGTCAGTGGATGGATAATTTCCCAAGTGCAGCCAGTCATCCAGGGGGGGTTGGGAGGTGACCAACACAGAGAGAGAGAGAGGAAGAGAGAGAGAGATAGATAGAGAGGAGACTAACAAACGGAAGGCAAACGACGCGTGCGCCAATTCAACTGGTCCGTTAGAAAGCGGCAAAACAAATGACCACCAGGCTAGCCAGGCAGCCTCAGCCGCCGCAGAAGCAGCAGAGGCGACTGGAAGCACCAGCAGCAACAGCCAAGTGAATCAGGTATTGGGTTTGCTACCAGGTAATGGGGTCAAGTGATTTAGAAAAACGAAAGAAAAATGAAATGCGCCAACCAGCGGGTTGCAGATATACCGAGACCGAGACGACAAGTGCAATCAGGAGGAGAGCCTGCTGCTGGTGCTGCTGCCATCTCTACTCTCCACCATCACAGCTCAATATTAACGGGATCCGGTCTGTCCGGCGTGGGAGAGCATTCATAAGAGAAGAGAGCATAAAAAGGGAGAGAGGGAGCGGCATCTTCTGTGCGCTGGGCTATGCTATGCAGCGTGTGCAAAGGGTGCAAGGAATATGGGTGTCTCCCCCTACTCTTACGCGACACTGTCTTTCTCTCTTTCTCGCTGTGGGTGTGTGCTGCTGCTGCTTGGCTGGGGGTGGCTGAGGGGCTGGGGCTGGGCTAATGGGCATAAACCGGCAAGCGCGAGCTTTTTTAGCTACTGTTTTACTGTTCTTTTTTGCTCTTCTCTTCTCACACGCACACCCTCTCTCTACTGGTGGTTGATTTTTGTTGTTCTTGCATCTTGCATTTATTGACATTTTCCGTGACAGGCTTTTGAAATAATGCAACTTTCTAGTTGCTGCAACTTGCGTGCAATTAATTATCGACACACACACATTCGCACGCAAAAAACGGATGTAAAGGAGGCCTTTGTTTTTCCTCTTTGCGGCGGCACACACCCTTGCGCCGGCAGCGGCAATGACAATGACAAAAACTAAAAAAAACAACAAGAACTGCGCGAAGCCGACGCCGTTTTTTTTACGGAGCAAAGCAAACAAAGGAGCAGCTTTGCACACACACACACGCACACACATTAACCACACACACTCATGGTGCAAACACACACCAGAAGTATATATAAAAAAAAAACAGGATCTGTAACAGATTAATTACCAAAAACTTTTCACTTTGGCCAAATAAATATCACACCGCGGAAATGGAATTGTGGCGGGGCCGGTGGTAATCAGTGTGACCGTGACGATAACGATAAAAAATATCATCCAGCCAAAAAATAAATACCATTAAATACCATTTCAGTTTCGAGAAATACTATTTAAATACCATACCAAAAAAAACCAGGGCAATCCGGCGATCAAACGAAACTTAACCCACTTAACACCCCTCTATTTAAAAAGTTGAGCACCCTTTGTTAAACCGCGGAAAATAATACTGTTTGTAAAGGCTCCTTGTAGCTCCATCCTCCTCTTTACTTACAAAACAAAAATGACCACCGACATCTTTCACCAGTACTGCTTAAAATATGTTAAAGTTACATCAATTTCGTGGGAATATTAAATACCCCCATGGTCGGCAATGGGATAACGTTCTATTTTATTGATTGAAATCGTATTCCATGATTTTGATATTCAGTTTAATATTACTAGCTAGTTGGCCCTCTCAGCCCTAAATAAAAAATTGTATCCAATTCCTCCATAAATTTTGTTCAGGGTTGGCTAGTTTTCAGAACTCTTTTTCATTGGATTGTTTACATAATAAGGTTCAAACAAAAAAGGTCATATAATAAAACGTAGGTGTGCACGAAATTTGACGTCTTTGTTGCTGGTCAACCAGTTTTCTGCTATGCGTAAGGGCATTTGCATACCCTGTTTCCTTTAATTAATGTTAAATTGGATTTTCTAAGCTTCTTTGAAACATTAATATATAGTTTTTAATGGATTGTTTTTGACACATTCACTCATTTTATTTATTTACTGCTCCCGATATTTCGGGAATTTCGCAAAAATCCAGAGACTAGTTTCTGCATTGTGGCATTGTCCATAAAGATTTTAATGTCAATCGCGGATCAATTTGGAAATCATTTTCTCTTTCTCGACTTCTGAGCGAATGGGAAAGACAAATTTACAATTGTACCTACATATGATATGATTATTTCTCTTGAATGAATAAATTCAACTTTATGCTATGTGTGTACGTACATACATACATATGTACATATGTACCTTCCTAGATTCAAGATTCGAGATTTTAGTTTTTTATTTTTGAGACTATTATCATATTTGAGGATACAATGGTCAAACGATTGACTCCCCGACCTATAGAGATATATCATGATACCAGCTCCATTGTTTACTGGACTTAACATTCAAATTCTGCTCTGGGGAGAGAGAGTAGTTGGCTGCTGCTGCATTTCTTGATTTAAAAAGACGCAAGTTATAAAATGACCAAATTTGGATTTCCTCGACTTGGTCTTCCGCCAAGTGTGCGAGTGCTTAATGCTTACTGTGCACTTATTCAAGTAACATAAATCGTGATTTGTTTATAGCTAAAAAGTTCATACATATGTATGTATGTACATATGCGATTTATTTGAAAAAAGTTCTGCTTATGTGCTTGTCTCGGAGTTTGTTTACTTTACGTTAAACCGCTGACTCTTCAACAACGTACTCCCGTTACATGCCAATGTTTTTTGTGTGTGAGTCTGTTTGTGTGGGTTCTGTGTAGTTTTCGTAGCTGGGAATATGAGCATTGGAAACAAGCTCTTCCAGTCATTCTGGCGTTTCAGTTCTCCATTTGGATGTGCAACGCAGCGGGATCCACTCTTGTCCACAATATTTGTCGCATCTTTGAAGGGTGCAATTAAATCAATTTCATTCAATTGCTATTCATTTCTTATTGGAATTTTTTGTTCCAGTTTCTCAACGCTGAGCTGATTTAATCTAAGCTAACAGTATGTTTAACGGCAACGATCTGACGCCATATTTACGTGAGTAGAATTTCACTTTTTTCTCGGTATATTAGCAAGTTTTCTGTGGATTTAATTGATGTTCCACACCAAACCCTCGACGGTTGCTGATCAACCTATCCTATACTCTGATATAGAGAATCAGGAAAAGTTTCGGAATTGCTGAAATTTCCCCACGCTGAAAGTAATAGCGAAAAGTACGCTAGTACTTCGGAAATGTATTCGCGATTTATGTTTAAGTTGAATTTTTAATTATGTTGTTTAATGAAGAGAAAACTTTTAACAATTTGCAGGCAAACCGGAGGATTGCCAGGGCAATCGGATCATGATCACTCACTATGTTAGCCCTCAACAGTTTTGGTACATTACTGCCAAGGATATCGAGGCTTGCAGTGCGCTGGTGCGACAAATGGAGCTGCAACTGGTCGAGCACTGCAGCCCCGGGAACCAGCGACCCTCCTACTGTGAGTATCTGGAGGTGATTGTGCGGTACATGCTGTGTAGTCTTCCGAAGCTGCTCCGTGGCGTCATTCGGAAGCGCAAGGGGGAGGAGTATCTGGTGTTTGCCCTGGACTATGGCTTTACCATCAATTGCACAGCCAAAGATCTATGGATGCTGCCAGGGAATTTAAACAAGAAATTGTATGATGTTCAAATGGGAGGAGTGGCGTTTATTGCCCCCTATAATGGCAGCACATGGACGAAGGCTGCACTGAGCGTCTTTGGGCAGAAGCTGGAGGAGGCCCACATGTTATCCCTGGACATTAGATATCAGGGGCCCATGAACGAGAATTTCGGAGTATTGTGGATAAAGTCGAACGGCCAAAGCGGCCCAGCTGTGGATGCAGCCGTCTTTCTGGAGGAGCGACGACATGGACGCAGGGAGACCAGCTGTAGCATGCCTTCCTACCTCGATCCCTTGTCCTTTGACTTGGCGGATATCAACGACGTGGAGCTCAAGGCTGGTTTGCGTGCCACAAAAATAATCCAGCTAGTGGCGGCGTCCGCCATACCCTTGGCCATCGAACAGAATCGCATTGACTGCTCCAAAGCCCCGTCCAAGACGGAACTCCGTGTGGAGAGGAACCCATTCAGACAACTCTCGACATGCAATCAAAACTACCCAAAAAGACGCAGTCCGCCCTGCCCCTCAAAGGATCCCATGAAGCTGGAGAGACTTCTCCAGCTGCGTAGCGAACCGCCAATACCGGATGCGGCGCGGCGTCTAAGCAAGGTCAGCGGTTCAGGCGACACCTCCGTCCAAACGGCTCTCATCGGTGGCTCAAGCAAAAAGGAAAACGTAGAGGAGAACGTCGAAAGGAGAAATCAATTGGAGGTGTACGGAAAATCCAGCAATGGAAGCCTGGCAGATCAGATGAGAGGGCTTAAGCTGACGAGTCGTCCCTCGATGAGTGAATGCTCTCCTAGCGGATATTCTGGATTGTTGGCTGGCCAGGAAACCATCAATATCAATGCGAATAACCAACGGAGCGAACCATCTGAGCCAAGAAATAGTCTCTTGTCCGCCTCTTCTGTGGCACAGCACACGCTCAAGCGCATTCTATTCCAGGGGGATGCAACTGCTGGGAAAGTCGCCAGAGCTTCCTCATCTGCAGCACGAGACACGGTCAAAAGTATTCTGTTTAAGGAAGATGCACCTGCTGGGAAAGTCGACGGGGCCATGCCAAAACTATTTCAGAGGATAAACCTCTCGTTGGCCAACAGGGTGCTGACCCACAGCAGTAAATCAGTGTCCGTGGATGTTGTCTGCAACATGAGCGAGGCATCGCTCGGCAAGGAGATTGAAATTGCCCTGCAGAAGCTGAACCACCAGACTCCTCTTTCCATGCAGTGCTTTGCCTGGCCCCACCTTATGAAGGGAAACTCCCTGCTGCTGGTGAATGCCTCGGGCACAGGTCGCTCCTGGTGCTATCTTCCGGCACTCTGCGCCTTGGTGATGCGCTCCATGAAAGCGGATGGGGAAGGTTTTATGAAGAAGGGGCCACTGGCCATACTGCTTACCGAATCCTCGGTCAACGCCAATGTTCTGTCAAAGCACTGCTCATTTCTGATGCAGAGCTTCGAAACTCAATTCTTCAAAGTGGTTAACACCCACGACCATTCCGAGCCCGAAGTGGTCACCATGCTACTCGGCTCGTGCGGCATCCTTGTGGCCACACTCTCGAATCTAAATGCCCTGATGGACTATAAACGCAAGGGCCTAGCCCTCTTCGAGCCGGCGCGACTGAAACACGTAGTCTTGGACGACTACGATCGCATGCAGCAGGCGGCTCCGCATCTCCTCAATGAAGTTATAAATCGCTTGCGCCGCTTGCCCCTTCCGCAAATGCAGCTCGTTCTAGTGGCCCAGCGCTGGCATGAGCAAGCCTTTCAGAAGTATCTCACATGGACCTCCACCAATCTGCTTATCTTTGGGGACTTCCTTGAAGCGGCCATGTACGGCCGCGTGAAGCTAACGATGGATGTGGGCCAATCGAAGAAAAAGTCAGCACAGCTCTTACAATTTCTGGCCTCCCAGACGCCGCCCCAGAAGCGAACGATCATATTCTGCAACAGTCAAGAGGAGATGGTGCAATTGAGAAAAGTTCTGGTCGCAGCTGGACATCAGTGCGTGATCATCTCGAAAGACCTGGCGCAGGTGAGTTGTCCTGGAACATTTTTATTAATTTACTAACCTATTGACCTATTGATTTCTAATTGGAGGAACCACACCAACTGCTGCTGGTCTACGACGAAAGTCAGCTGCAGCTGCGGGAGCGAAACAAAGAGCTACTCGTCCACTTTAGCCTACCCGAATCGTGGAAGAAGTTTGCCCAGCGATTCCACGTGATGGACGATTGCGTGCAGAACCGTTTGGCCGGGCCACTGACCCAGCCCTCCTCTATCGCTTCCCATATAATGCTGGACGAGAGCAACACCCAATATGGACCCTCTTTGGTGAGGTTCCTCAAACTCCACGGCCTCTCCACGGAAAAGTTGTCGGAGCAGATGTCCTGCTTTCTGCCGAGGGGCGAAAACAGTCTTCCCTTCTGTCTGTATCTGCTGAAGACAGGCGAATGCACTCAGAGACAGTGCACCATGCGGCATCACTTCCTCAAAGCGGACGTACAGCATTCGAGTAATCCCTGCCAGCAGTCCGAGGCCCTAGTGCGGTGCAGGCCATGCAAGATCTACGGCCCGACTCATATGGCCCTCTGGCCCACCGAGTACATGCTGAAGGGCACTACGGTCTGGGTGGAGGCGCCATTTCCGGCCAGTCGGTGGATTGCGGAGGTGGAGCTGAGTGTGGAATCTAATCCCAAGCAGCACCATCCAGTCCGCGTCTCCGACGTCTGCCTCGTGCATCAGCAGGGGCTCTACAAACGCGTCCGCGTCATGGACATTCCTGCAGAGCATTCGGTGACAGTGCAGTTGATGGACCACGGCACGGAGCTGATGAAAATTAGGCCCTGGGACCTTCTAAAGTGCGATGCGAAGTTTATTGGTCTGCCCATGCTGGCCATGGATGTGAAGCTGTCCTGTGTGGAGCCTACCACAGGAGAGGCCAGCTGGTCGCCGGAGTCCATCAAGTGGGTGCACGATACGTTTTATCGTCTTCCAGATGGACAACACATTCAGATAACCGTGGATTTCTCCATGCTCGATGTGGTCTATGTGAAGGAAATCGTCTTGATCGAGGAGTGCCCTACGCTGCGGACTAGTGTCTACAGATCTGTGCTGCGAAAGGAATTGATCGCGCGAAAATTTGGCAAAATGACGACGAAAAGCCTCGCTCAGGGCCCGCCAGCGCCACTTACCTGCAGAGGCTTGGCTTCAATCAGAGAGAAAGACAAGCCTCAGATACAGAACCAAGTTACGAAAACCCATCGGAAGGAAGCACAGGTAAAAGAAGCATTAGCCGATGGAAAGGACAATGGCGCAATGGAAGCCAGTAGCAGCACATTGGAAGAGCCGAAGAAAGCTCAGGGGAAAGGCGATTGCCAGAGTAATCCCCCAACGGTTGATTCAACTCCAGACAGGAAAAAAGTTCAGATAAAATTAGCATTAGCTGATGGAAAGGACAACGACACAATGGAAGCCAGTAGCAGGACAATGGAGGATCAGAGTAAAGCTCTGGGGAAAGCCGATGGCCAGAGTATTGCCGGAACGGTTGACCCAACTCTAGACGGATCACAGCGGAAGTTTCTCGAGATGCTAAGGGGAGAGTTAGCCAGCGAGAATTCGTCGCGCTATGCAGAAACCCGTCGATTCCTGCAAAGCATTGTAGGCGGCGATGAATTGGATTCAGTGCCTTCGAAAGAAACTGCCGAAACAATCAGCACAGAATCGGGCCCAATTCTTTGCCTCACTGATGCCTCACCTGGAACATCGGTACAAGAGCCATCGAAGGATCAAACGATAAAAGCCCTGCAATGTGCCACGACACTTGGTGGAGCAGTGGCCTGGCCTATGGTCAAATGGCACCAGACCCTCCGCCAAATTGAACTCATTTTCGAGCAGAAGGTGCCGGAGTATGAACTCTTTGTTCGGGGCAGCTTTCTCTCGTATTTTGTGGCAGAGACCTCGCCACCCCAGAGGTGCTTTATGAATCTTCTGGGTGAGGTGAGGATCGCCTCGGAGAAGCTGCACGGCTACTTTCTGCACGTCAAGCTGTCAAAAGTTGGCTCCCTGTTCTACTGGCCAACTCTTCTCAACTCCCTGTACACGCAGCAGCATTCCCGTTGGTTGTCATACGACGTAGAGCGAGCCAAGGAGCCGCCCTCACCCATGGGCCTGCTTCTGTGGGAGCGCCACATGCGCCAGGTGTTCACCAAAGTTGATTCGACGACGGAAGAAGATTCTGTTGAGTATGATTCGGATGATTCCGATCTGTCAGACTCGGCTTTATACGATCTGTAAGAGATATCGCCTTTACTTTGATACACTTTATATTTGCATTCATGCATATTCTATTATAATTATCACTAAATACAGACATAAGTTACCGATCAGATAAAGATTAACTTCTGAGCTTAATGGCTTACCACCAATGACAGGAATATACTAAACATAGTTACTATAATTAAGGCCATAAAATTTATACACAAATGAAAATTAAATTTGATCAAATTTTGATTTAAAAAAAAATGGAAGCAAAAACTGAAACAAATTCTTTGTAACACTACTCGACACGAGTAGTTCCAATTGGGAATTGGAATCGCGATCAGGTACCAAATATGGACCACCTCGCAACCTTCGAAAAGGTATTTTTTGTTTTTTTCATTTTTTAGGTTTGGTTAACGAATTTTAGCTCCAAAGTTTCTCCACAGATTTTAATGAACAATACCTTAAACGACGCCTAATTAATGTACCCACATACAAAAAATAGAAGTCACAGGATATTCGACTTTTCGCGAGTTTTTAAAGTCAAAATTTCGTTAAAAATACCACGCAACATAATTTGGTTTGGGCTTACCTAGTGAGATGTTTTAATGATCTTTTCAAAATAGCAAAGTTCTTTACAACCAGACGTAAGATATTAGAGTTATGTGAAAAAAAGAAGCGGAAGTTGGATTTTGTTGAGTAGTTTTATTTGGAACGTAGATTCATTGTTGCGACGTTCCTACGCGTTCCCGTAAGATACATACATTTGATTTGTATCGGGAAAATTTACGCAACATGGGGAAATGTTGTACAACTTTGGCACGGAATGAGCAACAGTCTGCATACCTTGGGAAAATGGATATTATGGATTTGAGATATTGTTTGTAATTTCAGGCTCCAACTACTCAGTCTCTGTTTTAAAGATATTAACGAAATTTTGCAGCTCACGGGTTCCAATAATAGGTATCAGAACCGGGATAAATGTATATAAAACACAAACATGTGCATTAATAGGTAAAAAACATGTCAATCTAGGATAAAATCATAAATAATGTTTCAATGGAGCTTGGAACAAAACATTTAACATCAAATAAGGTATACAAAAGTACATACCCATATAAGAAACTTGGTTGACCAGCAACACTGACGTCACATTTAGTCAACATTTACGTTTTATGCTTTGGCCGTTTTTGTTTGAACCTTTTTATGTAAACAATGCAATAAAAAAGGACTTCTGAAAGCCAATCTTGTAGAAAATTGATGTATCTATCGGATAAAATTATTTCTTTAGGGCTGAAAGGGCCAACTGCTAGTAATATTAAACGGAATATCAAAATCGAGGAATATCAACGTTGAATGTTTTGAACAAAGTATCGGGCTCAAATAATTATTAAAAAACAATTGAAACCTTTTAGGAACTTGTCGTTTGTAAAAATTAGATACTACCTGTCGATTTGTTTACAAATTTGTCTTCGTATTTTATAGCAGCCAATCCAAACATATCAAAAGCGCAACGACTGTAGCTCGATACTATCATGATAGTCTCAAAACCATCGAAAGTAGAGGCTAGCAGCAAAGTATCGATACTATCGATAGTGCCCTCTTCGGTTTGACACCTCTAGAGGACAGACAGCGCAGCCTGTATTGTTATTTTTTTTGTATATTTTTTTGATTAAATCAAATTGAATTAACTTGATTGCAATGTTAACGCTGTGCGCGAGAAACAACGAGGAGGCATCAGTGCGGCCCCTCGCACTTTGATAACGTTGATTATATACGCAGATATAGATAGAATAGGATCGTAAACAGAAGAGCGTCGCGGCTACGGCACAAATAGAGTGAGAGCGAGAGCGAGCAAGCGTATGCCAGTGCCTCCATGTGAATGTGTATGTGTGGGTACAAATTTCGTGTGCGGCGGCTGCAGAGAAGCAGAAGAAGAACGGACACGGCAACGGTAAGGCTTATCCAGCCTCCGTCTCCGCCGTAACATTAAAAGTGCAACTACATCTCCGGCTACAGCTACAACTGCAGTCCCCAGCGCCAGTGGAGGAGGAACTGATTCGGGCGCGGGCCCCTGGCCCTGGCCAAACCTAATCAATGCAAAAGGAAGAACAACACCAAAAACACCACATCGGATAAAATGAATTTACTGCAGAAAATTGGTAAGTACAATTGTCTTTCTAACAGCCCCGCCTCCGCATAAGCCCCATGCCCCTTCCCCTGACCGCACCGCCCTTCTGCCCATGCCGTCAATGATAGAAACAATTGTTATAACCTTAAATGAAATCAAGAAAACAATTGGATGGTGTGTGTGTGTGTGTGGGTGGAAGAGGGATGGTTAGAGGCGATTTTAAGGGATTTCTGTTTTTCTTAGCTCGCTCTCACTCTCTTTTCACTCTGTATGTTGTGTGTGTGTGTGTGTGTATATGGGTGCGCTCAGAATTCGTATGAATATGGGATATTTATCCATATCCGTATCCCTATAGTACAATCCATCGATGGTATGGTCCAAGCTAATCCCAAAGAACGCATCCATATTTCCTTTCTGCAGCTACTCCCACGGCTGCTGTGCGTTTCGGGAGCTGTCAACAAGTCTATTTTTAGCATCCACCAACGTCAACATCGACGCTGCAGTCGCAGTCGCTGCCTCTGCTCCCCCTGGGAAGGCTTCTTCCGCCTCTTTCCCACTCCAAAGAAGTGTTGAAAATTGGAGAGCAACAACAACAACGACTATGAGATTTCTCTCCACTTCCTTTTGACCTGCCCCCTCCCACTCCGTTCCATTCCACTCCACCCGCCATTCCGTTTTCATTCTAAATGCATTCCCCTCCTGCTCCCTGTTCCTGCTCCAGCAGATGGATGCGGAATTCAAATATAATGTGAAAAGTGATTTCCAACTGCATTTCAAATGTGTGGGTGCAAGTGCGATGGATATACAGCACAATTATGTACATACATATGTGATATGCATATGAATATGTATTTTTTCCACCTTAACAGTTGCCCAGCGGTTTAATCCTGTTGCATCATTACACCTATTCCTCCAACCAGGCAAAGGGGATGCTGTTTTTATGTTTATTTTGGTAAAATGTTGTTGTTTGCTCCGTCAACTTAAGAAATACTTTAATTTATTCCCTAACAATATTTTAATATTTACATATTTATGTTTAAGTCCTATTCGGTAGCCAATCCATGACTGAATCAAATTGTCTGTCTAAAAACAAAATAAATAGTATCCATTCATGTACTTCCACTTATCAAATATTTTTGTGGCAGCGAGAACAACCGAATTTTTTGTGTATTCATCTTTGAATTGGCACACGGAACACAACTCTAAAAACAAAACAAAAATAAAATATTTTTAGTAAATATGTATGTAATTACAATGTATTTTCGGCGAAAATTCTAACTGGAATTCTAGCAGTGGAATAGCACAATTATCAACAACATCATTTTTTTCTTCAGCATAATAAGTGCAAGCGGAGGGTGTCTGGTAGTCGGCAATGTTTGGGAGATCAATAAATGATTAGGGACATTTGTATTCCTACCCTTTTAGACACAGAAAACCTTTTGCACTTGCAAAAAATAAATGTCTGTGGGTAAATCACTAGAACATTTCTTTGTCTCGTTTTTGTGTGAATTCTAGATCTTAGACAAGAAAACACGGACTGTATCATTTCTGCCCGTTGATTTGATAAGCCGGTCAGCGCTTTTGATAGATAATGGCGCAGCCGAAGCTCTCTCTCGCAGCTCTCACCACAAACACATATGTATGTATGTATGTAAGTACATACATATGTATGTATGCATTGAGCAAAAGTTCATTTGAAAGTGCAAATGTTGGGCAGTCCCAAAGTGTATTAATAGTGAGGTGAAGGTGCTCTCATGGTATTCGCATAGTGTGACTCGAAGAGCGGCTACATCTTACACCTTGTATTAATGTACTTTGTGCTCATCGGGTGGGCCCAGCTGGTGCTGGTGCTACTGCTACTGCTACTGCTGCCGCCCTGCCACTGGCTCTGCCCAATTAGATTTGTAAAAGCTTAACCGCTCTCCCCCATCCCATCCCCCTGAAGCTGGCGCTCACGCCATAGCGCTATGCTATAGTAGGCGCTCATCGCTTACCGTTTGACGAGTCGGAGCTGGGGTCTGGGGCCGCTGGTTGATTCAGTCGCACGCGAAATTTTCTCATCAACGGTACGCCTCGCTCTGCTCCATACCGTTCCGCTCCCCACACCGGACAGCCGTAACCCGAACGAAGCCCCCCGCTCGTATCGCACGCTCGTGACCCGCCCCAAGAAGTGATATCATTTAAGCAATATCTCTCTCTGGGGATCACCCTCACCCTTTTCCTGCTTCCCACCCCTCCAATAAAAAGGGAGTGTGCAGTTCAATTGTTTTTTTTTTTTTTTTTGTGTTGTGCTCAAGTGTGTCCGTGTGTGTGTGTGTGTGAGTGTGCAATAGATCAATGATATCGATACAGATACATATTCCCGAACAGCGGGAGAATCGATGAAGCGTTTGCTCCAGTTTCCCGACCCACAAATCGATTGCACAACAAAAATACAAATAATAACAACAACAACAAAATCGATTGCTTGCTTGGGAGGAGCAAAGGGACACAGAGTGGAAGAGCAAACGGACAGAGTGGAAGCACAGAATTTACCGCAATGCGTGTTCTCAATACAGAGCTTCGTTTGCGCTTCAAAAACCGCAGGCCGAGGCCCTTCAATCGGGCAGCGAGTGCCGATGATGCCGTTATGATGGATACGTCCAACCCCGGTACACCCGTCAGCCCCTGCGATCAGAGTATCCATGGAGGCGGTGGAGGCAACACCTCAATATGAGTATGTATCCCCGAAAATACAGTTGTTATTGTCAGTAGATAATATCGACTATTTATAAGTGTGCAGGAGTTCGCCCATATCTTCTGAAAAAAACATTACCACGAAAATCTAGATTCTAGAATGACCTTGAGGCGTGATAAGGCGGCATAATGAGAATCAAGATACAGCCGGCTGATTATGTGGAACTTTATTTTTTCCGCTCAAAAATGGTGTAGATTGTGGAATGCAACGTTTCCGCCCAAAAGTATCTTGATTATCTGACTACGCGATCGTGGGGCCGATGGCGAATCCATAGTGTTTGATTGCCATATCCAGTTGCTCCCCCCCCCCCCCCCCCCCAAAAACCATTCCACATTGTTCCTAATTTGAAGCTTGATTATCGTAGATATTTTTTAATATTATTT